TGTCCCACTAGGCGTGTCAAGTTTGTTGTTCAATTGCAAAGTCATTCGAAGTGTTGGCTAATTGCTCTTGTTATTGATTCCTTTTTTCAAGTGATTATGATAAGGAAAGAACTATATTCCTCAACTATGGGTTGCTTAACTATTCAAAATATTGTTAAGTATATTGGTTTGTTGGGGTTTGAGTTAGTGAAGTAAAAAATCGCATAAAAAGGAAAGATCAAAATGAAAATTTTAATGATAAAAATACATAAAATAATTTAATTGATTGAATGTGTAAAATTTACAAATTCGGTATTTATAAACATCCAATAGTCCTGTTGGCCAAAACTACATGACCTACAAAAATTAGTCTTACTCAATTATTTACGTGGGTGATTCATATATTTTCTCGATATTATAGGTACGTGGCAGTCCTTGTTTGACATCATTCCCCAATTTCTCAAAAGTTTATATTTTTTCTTATCCGAACATGCGAATCTCCCTCAATGTTGTTTATTGCTTCTAACTTACATTAGTGAGTGGTAATATTAACATGAAACGCAAGTAAATTTCTCAATTATCAAGTCCAACTGAATCGTAGTCGATGATGTCATGTTTCCCCATGTATATTTGTTGTTTAAAAGAAGTTGTTATTACCACTTGTGTTTTAGGTGGATCAACAAATGTATATGAAAAAGCATTATAAGGAGCCAAATATGTTGGCATTTCCAACTTTTGTGGAAGGATTTTAGATCTTTGTGGGACTGACCTCTTTGATCCTAATCAAGGTGGTTGATCCATACTACTAAGATTTTTACCATAACGTGTGTTTATATGCTAAATGTAATCTTGGTTTTCAGTGGTTGTGTTTGTGTGTCCCACTAGGTGTGTCAAGTTTGTTTCTTGCTTCTAACTTTCTTTAGTGAGTGGTGATATTAACATGAAACACAAGGAAATTTCTCAATTATCAAGTCCAACTGAATCGTAACCGATTATAACGATCCTAATTTTGTGAGCCGCCAAAAACTATGTTGAGAGTGGGATTTGAACCCTAATTTTGTGAGCCGCCAAAAACTATGTTGAGAGTGGGATTTGAACCCACGCCCTTTCGGACCAGAACCTTAATCTGGCGCCTTAGACCAACTCGGCCATCTCAACTTTGTTGATTAATTTTATGTTGAAGTTTTCTTCACAATTTCATAGTATATTGAATTTTTTTAGATTAATTTTATGCTGAAGTTTTCTTCACAATTTCATAGTATATTGAATTTTTTTAGCTGCTTCGGTTTATAATTGATTCTAAATTGTTTCCCATTTCATCAAAAACCCTAATTTTCATTAAAAATTCCACCTTGTTGCAATGGGTGATGATGCCCTCAAGTTACTCTTTGATGTTTCCAACTCCAACACCTTAGAAAACTCCTTAGATATTCTCATTCAAACTGCTAAATCTGAATCTGGACGTTCCCACCTCGCTTCCAAAAGAATTCTCCCTGCAGTTCTCAGTATTCTTCACTCACAAACCCCTTTTTTGGATAACAATATTCTATCTTTGTGTTTCAAGCTTCTCAGAAACCTGTGTGCTGGTGAACTTGTGAATCAGAATTTGTTTCTTGAGTTTGATGGGGTTGTTATTGTTGTTTCGAGGATTTTGAGGTTGGAGGGTGTTTCTGATCATATGTTGGTTCGGTGGGGTTTGCAGGTTTTGGCAAATGTTTGTTTGGCTGGGAAAGAGCATCAGAGGGCTGTTTGGGAAGAGTTGTTTCCACTTGGTTTTGTGTCTCTTGCAAGACTTGGAATTAAGGAGGTTTCTGATCCGTTGTGTATGGTGATTTATACATGTTGTGATGGAAATCCAGACTGGTTTGGAGAGCTTTGTAGTGATATTGGTTGGCCTGTAGTGGTGGAATCAGTGAGAACTGCTTCTTCTGGTTAGTTTGTAGTTTATGTTTTTTCTTGTGTACTTTTACATTGTTTGTTTCATCTATGTTGTTGTTTAGGATCAGTCTTATGTTGTAACTTTGATTTTATTTATGTATGTGTTTATTTGCTTTCCTTATAAATGAATCACGGACACTGAGACACGAAGCTGATGATACATTGACATATGTGATAATTTGAGAAATGATGGAAAAAAATCAAAGTCATGTCTTGGTGTTGGTTCCTCTCTAATTGTCCTTGTCCGGCCCATTGGTGGAAGCTCGGGATAGTTAGTGTTAGTGATTTCAGAGGATTTCAGGTTCTCTGTATGCCTGGTTTTGAGTCGGGGTGGGTTTTGGCTAATTCCTATGTTAGGATTGGTGTAGTGGTTTTTTAGTGTTGTTGTTGCTGTTGCAAACTGCTTATATATTGCTATGCTGTCATGACTTACGAGTTGCTTCCATAATTTTCTATGCTGCCATGATTCATGACACGAGTTCGTATTTATTTCTTATGGTTTTTAAGCTGTAACACTGACTTCTACTTTTTCTATTGAAACCAGCTGGTTTTGGTGAGGATTGGATAAAGTTGATTCTCTCGAGAGTTTCTCTTGATGAATCTCAATTGCCTGTATTGTTTTCTAAATTATGGTTTAAGGATATTCACGAGGGTGAAGATACCGAGTCAAAAGATGATCAGTTTTCATCTGAACAAGTGTTTCTTCTGCAAATCGTATCAGAAATTTTGAATGAGCGAATCGAAGATGTTTCTGTTTCTAAGGATGTTGCGTCGTGTGTTTATGGAATATTCAAGAAATCTATGGAGGTTCTTGAGCATGCAGTGAGAGGCAAGTCTGGTCTTCCGACTAGCATTACCGCAGTGGACGTTCTTGGTTACTCGCTTACTATATTGAGAGACATCTGTGCTCATGATAGCGCGAGAGGTAAAGCAGAGGATGCAAACGATGTTGTCAATGTGTTATTGTCAAATGGTCTCATTGAGTTGCTTTTGATTGTGCTTGGGGACCTTGAACCTCCAGCAATAATCCGAAAAGGAATCAAACAATCTGAAAATCAAGATGGTGCTAGTTCCTCGTCGAAACCATGCCCCTACAAGGGCTTTAGGAGAGACATAGTTGCACTTATCGGCAATTGTGTGTATAGAAGGAAGCATGCACAAGACGAACTGCGGAATAGGAATGGAGTTCTATTGCTATTGCAGCAATGTGTTACCGACGAAGATAATCCTTTTCTGAGAGAATGGGGAATATGGTCTGTCAGGAATATGTTGGAGGGCAATGAGGAGAATCAAAAGGTAGTTTCTGAATTGCAGCTGCAAGGATCTGCTGATATACCCGAAATTTCTGCACTTGGCCTTCGAGTCGAGGTTGATCAAAATACTCGGCGCGCAAAGCTTGTAAATGTCTCGTGAAGTAACTTTTTTGTTTTATATTTTTAAAATTCAATAGAACTTTCATTAAATTAAGGATAAGCTTAAAATCATTTTGGTTAAAAGGAAAGTACCCATATTTAAACAAGAGAAAAAGTAGTGTAATTACTGCATCCTTTGTTCTATTAAGGATGTCTTTATTGTCTTTAATATTTGGATTTTAAAGGTGATGATGTAAAGAAGAAAGTGTTTGTAGATGCTAACTGTCTCATCCGGTTTTCCGAGTCTTGGTTATAATCATTTGAATTGTTGTCTTTTCAAATACTAAGCTACATCAACATTTCCAGCACTTTGAACCATTTAGTAGAATGCAGCTTTCTCATTTTTTGTTAAGAGTTCCTCAGGTGAACATAATCAGAGGCTGTTAATCAGATTGCTGTTGATAATTGTATTCATTCTATGTGCAATGATGAGCTTGTGCAGGAATGAAATTTTTGTCTGATATTTCCTCTCGTATTAGAGAATATTGAGTTTTTAGGTTTATTAAATACTCAATGTATCTGATCCATTATTCGGTACAGATAAATTCAATGAAGATAAAAAGTAAATTTTTTTTTATAAATAGGATTGGAGGAAGTAGTATTCTATATAAGAGCATCTGTTCTAACATTGACAGCTGCGGTGTGCTCTTTCCAGAGCTTCCCTTAGGTCAGCATCATTGTTGAAAGTAGCTGTGAAACTTGCCCCAAAAACATCCTGTGTCTTTCGGACAGGATTCGTCTGAGAGAATATCATTTGAGCGCATATAATTTTATATAGCATTGCATCATGCAATCTTTTCACAGCGCATTTCAACAACTCCTTGAACGTTCCTTGCTCCTTATTCGTGTCTTCACTAACAAGAATAGTTTTATCCTTCTGAAGGAGATGATTAAGCTGGTTCAATAACCCTGATTTTTTCTTGCAGCTCTTGTCTTCACTAACAAAAATAGTTTTATCCTTCTGAAGGAGATGATTAAGCTGGTTCAATAACCCTGAGCAATATGGTCGTCAAGAGCACTTATTGGATCATCAAATATATATACATCTGAATTTGAGCATACAGCTCTAGCTAAAGAAACTCTCCTCTCTCTCCGATCTCTGTAAAATCGTGTTCAGGTAAAAAGTTGAGATTATGCTCTAAAGAAGTGACATCAATTGCCTTCCAAAACTACACATGATCAAAATTTAACCCAACTAATATATTTTCACAAACTTTAGCATTGTAAATCCATGAAATCTGAGGATCATAAGCAACAGTGCCTCTGATTGTATCTCTCTAAGCATTGTTGAAATAAGTGATGTTTTCCCTTTTCCAGTTCCTCCAATGATTGCAACTAAGCTTCCAACTGGCATTTCCAAAATCTTGTAACAAAACATAACCTTACCGAGTTGGCAAGGCAGAAACTATGTTCTCATATGTAGCACCATGAATTACAAGACAAATAGCATTCCACATTAAGTATACAGACACAAAAATAACACTGTCAGAGGAAAAGGAAAAAAGAATAACCTATAGGTTATTTGAGTTAATCCTAAGGAAAAAGAATAACCTGTAAATGTATAGAACTATACACTATGTGTTTTCTGTAACTATCATGCTTTTCAAAATTGTTTATTCTGTTTGTAATTACATGCATTTCATCCTCTATTTTGTAATTTACATCAATTCATCAAATGGTAAGATTCTCCTTCATGGCAAGAAATGATCCAACAATTTTCCCTCCTACATCAGGAAACTCTTCATAACCGGGAAGTGATCTGACTTTCCCCTTTCGATCAACATCTACAGGGTATTTTAGAAGATGCCCTCTCATCTCTGATACTTCATTTGCTGCAAATTGTTTCCAGTTCATTTCACCAATTGCTCTAACTTTTTGTACGCAGTCAAGGCTCTCAGGTTGCAAATAGCAGTCATCAAGTGTTCCAGTATGTTCTGCCCAAAGTGACATCCTATATCCATGGATCTACATAGTATAGTTCACAAAGAATTTTGGTCTGATTATAACATACATTGATGGATTCAAACATATATGCAGAAAAACAAAAATCAAAGAGACTGCAAATGAAAATAGTAAGGCCAAATCATTAACATAAATGACAGTGGCACATCCCCTAACTTGTTGACATTGGAATTTAATGGAAAATTCAAACAGATATTTGCGCGTGACTAATAAATATTTAATTATGTTTTGCAACTTCATCTTTTCTACTCGAGTGCCACGAGGGAAACAAGAAATTGGTTGTAAAAAAGGAATGTTTTCTTACCTGTCCAAGTGGATATGAATATTTTCTTGCCCAGGTATGATGAGGTTGGTATGCTCCCATTGCAATCTCGCTGTCCCTTGTTCCTTCCATAGAGCGTTGGTTAATGTTCGCAGATCCAACAATCACATATTCATCATCAACTATCATGCCTTTTGAATGAACATAAATCATGAAACGTCGGCTAGTTCGACTATTTGCCTGGAAAGAAAGCAACACCATACAAAACAATTACTAATTGATTCACTCAATAGTGATGATGATTGTATGCCTTGAAAAACAAAAAGACAGTTTATCAGTCCGCCCCCTTAAAATGTGGGGTGTTTACTGAAGCACGCGTCTGTATTTTTCCATATCTGGACATATATGGGGGCGGATTGAGAAACTGTAAAAACAAAATCATGATTTCATAGTGTAAGAAATATTTGCTAAGATGTTAGTGACATACTTGTGGACTATTTGCTGGGGGAGGATTTCCTGATACATTGACATTTTCATACACATTTATGGCCTCTCGATTACCAAGACAGAAAAAGTTCAAATAGTCTTGTGGAGAGAATGCTGCTTCAAGCCCAGCCTCAACTAAAGCCTTGTAAATCGTTTCATACATCATTTGCATTGTTTTATTCTGCAAAGATTTTAAAAATTATTCCAGGTTAACAATATGCATAATCCTTGCTAAGTTTTCGACATTCATATTCGGACTTCAATTTGAACCATACCTGCCAGAATAGAATCCTTTGTGTGGCAGCACCTGTTGGAACACCTTCTGGCCACATTGGAATAACTATATAAACTGCAAACCTCTCATTTTCTCTAATCTTTTCCGCAATCTTTAGAGCAATTTCCATCGGAATTAAATTATTAGCACCTGCCAAAAAAAATTAAGTATAAATTAACGATACTGGATTCTGGCGTTGGACTATTTATTCATATCAAAACTCAAATTTCTACAAAATGTTAGTATAGCACCAGATGTGATTAGTGAAAATATAAGCAGCTTTTGTATGCAAAAAGAGGAATATCATACCAAGGTCTTTATGTTGACTCCAATTGTAAGAAGACCCTATGAAATATTGATTCTCGATATAAATGTAATGTTGTGCAGCACGAATAGCCTTCACGTATGCTGTATGTATGCTCATGTCAATCAGCGCATTCTTCCCGCATACAAGGTTCTGTAAATATGCAATAGTAATTTACCTTCTCATACACAGGTTGATGCTTGATGAATTGAAATTAAACATGAAAAATAAAAACTGAAACAAAAAGCTTTTGTTTACCTTGCCAGTTGCCTCTCTTGGGTCTTTTGGAAATCCCTTAACTGAATTTGAATCAATTGAACGAAATATCTGTATTTCAAAGTAAATAGAATCAATAATTTCATTTTCAAGAAAAAGATGAAATTGTTAGTTCTAGAAAATATAGTAAAAAATAATTACTTCTAGAAAATCAAAACATCTATTATGTATGAAATAGGCAATTACCTGAACATGCCATGATTCAGGATCATCATCACCACTAGGAGCGTCGTTAATGCCAATAACGTCTGGAACTCTTTCCAGTCTAAGTAAAGCGTCATCATATGAAATTTTCAACTTATTTATCCCTTGTGGTTTTGAAGCTTTTAACCAGCGCTCCTCAAAGTTAGTTAAGACATCATAAGCTGCCGGACCATCAATTTTGGAATGCAAATCATGCCATGGCTCCCTTGGACAACCACCCGTGTTACCCTGTCATGAAATGATATCAACAAAATAATTGGACTTTTTGTCTTAACAATTATATTTATAAACTTCTGCTTATTGGTTCCCAGATACAGATATAACCATGATTTGAATTGCATTTGAGTGTACAATAATTTTTTTTTTAATAATAGGGTTAAAATATCAACAGCAGTGCTACTTTTTTATAGTTCAAAGTGTTCGACTAACTCACAAAATTCTCTTTGATCTTCCCCACATAAGAATGCAATAAGTATAGTATTTAATTATGCTTTGACTTCCTCAAGAGCTACTAAAACTTAGATTCATTCATTTTGTTTCTTTTTTTCACAAGCTCTTCCATTAATCCCATGTTTATTAGACAATTGATGGATAACTGTAATTAGTCTTGATCATGCTACAAAGTGGAGTCTGAAATTATAGATTACCGTGTAAGTAGGGTTGTGATAGTCATCCTTATGTATTGTTTCTAATGTCTTGAAGAGAGGATGGTGAGGAGTATCATATCGGCCATCACACAAATCAAGTCCGCCAACAAATGCTACAATTTTTCTTCTGTTATTTCCAGCATCAGCGTCCACAATTACAGTTTTCTGATGATGTGTATATATAGTTCCAACTTCCTGACAAGACATACAAATTCAATGTAAAACTCTGAAACCAAAACTCTAGTAGTATGTAATTGCATATCATTATTTTCACGGTAATGATACTAAAAATGCTAGATGAACATTTTCAATTGCTAATGAAAAATAACAATTTACAGGTCTAAATTCCAATAATGCAACGTTTTAAAGAATGACTGAATAACAATAAAAACCAACGTTTCAGCAAACTTTGTCGACAAATGAGCATAATTAATATATCATTCAATGTTGTCAATTGCGGATTGTTAAAATTCTGCTATGTAATAGATCTATAACACCACTATAGACGCTATTTGAAAACATTTTGCACTAAATAGCGTATCACGGAACAATAACGGTATGTCTGAATTCCGCTACGCTACAGCGCCAATATAGCAGCTACTCGACAACACTGATCAATCAGTAAAGTAGCTGTCAAATCTAACCTTTTGCTTGACCCAGCTATGGCGTTTTCCAGCACTGCGAGGACAAAGCAGCACATTCACTGATGAGTTCTTGAAAAATCGTCTAGTTTCCTCATCATGAGTTGCCATGACACCATCCTTAATGTATAGCCAAAAAGTATTGCATGATTAGAACTAGGGAAAATTGTACATAGTATAGTAATGTTAATAAAGAAACTAAAAGAAGCATTCAATCATATAGTTCTTACACAAAATAAAGTAAACCTTAGTGGTCATACTAGGAACAAGTATTGTATTACTTACTGTTTTATAACCCAAAATACTTCTTGATGTAGGATCATCCCAAATAAGGAGAAGCACTCTTACTCCTTCCTGTGACTTTGTCCTCAGAAGATCACCCAATGTATAATCTGATGCATAACCGGCATCTCTTACCAACCTAACTTTGTGCCACACTGACCATCCTGTAATATAAATCAAGCGGCGAGCTTGCCTTATGGCATCAAATATGTCATGCCAACACTTTCCATGCACATAAAACATCCCACTATCAAGCAACACGTTAGGGAGGATACCATCTGGAACATGAGCATCTTGATATAGAGTAACATTTCCACCTTTCCTCAAAGGAAAATAAGTAGCAGGAACACCTATATATTCAGGCCCTGCTCCAACTCCTTGATGATAAAAGCTCAGATGCTCCATTGGGATGTACTGAATGGACAGGCTCAGTACAGCACCTTGCTTACAAGGCTTCCCATTATTATTCAGAATAGGGTAAGTTCCTTCAACTTGTTCCCCTGAGTATATTTGTTCCACTGGAATCGCCACAATACCAATGAGCTGGGAACCCACAACATCACTATCTTTAACAACAAAATGCACTTCAGCAGCATTATGCGCAATAGGAACATAGAAATGTTGAGTCCAAACAGGATTTTCACTGTTGCTAATGACAAAAGTCCTTCCAATTACAGCATTTGAAACTGAAATTGAAACATAAGGATCGCTTGTAATCTTCTTATTCATCGTTCCTTCAATTTTATTGCTCACACTACCCGGTAATCTACCAAACATATCCCCCAATGTTTTGTGGAACATGTCCATATTTGGAAGATTTTTAGCTTCATGAACCCATATATCTAAATTTCCATGAAGGAGCAAAACTTTCAATGACCCTTTATTCTGCGTCGGTACAACCTGCAAGCTCTGACTATGCATCGAGTCATTAAATGAACCAGAATAATCCGAAAGTCTACCCGAGTTCACTCGGTTCGGGTATGAGGACCCCCAACCCGAGAAGGAGTTATTAGAAGAATGTCCATAAAAATCCTCTTTCTTCTGTTGAATCTTTGGTACCGAAACTGAATGCATAAAAGGTTGTGCAGCAGGAGCAGGAGGCGATGCAGGAGCAGTCGGTTGGTTATCAGACAACTTAACATTGCTCATTAGATCATCCAAACGTGGATAAGCAGAAGGGTTGGAATTATCACCACCACTACTCTGCGATACACCACCACCAACAGCTGTTGAACTTGATGTGTCATGCCAGTAATGACCAGAGAAGCTATTATGACGCGAATGTACATCGGGACGTTCTTCATGAGAAGCATTGTGTGGATAATAATAATGATGAGAGGATGATCCATGTTGTAATAAGCTAGCATGATGTGAAAGGGAAGGTTGAGGAGGATTATGAGTCCCTGGAGAAACATTGTAGGGATAAGAAGGATAAGAGGGTGGAGCTGAGGGTGAGGATACTAATTGATGATGATGGTGAGGAGGAGGAGGGTATGGATACTCATATGGGGCGGGGGCGGGGGAGGTAGAATTGAATGAGTGTGATGGTGATAATGATGGTGGTCTAGGATATGAATAATTCAAGGAATGTGAAGAAACATAAGGATATGGATAAGGAGGAGCATGAGCATGAGCATGTGCATGTGCATATGGATCAGGAACTGGAGCTTGAGGTGGATATGGTGGATGAGCATGTGCAAATGGATCAGGAACTGGACCTTGAGGTGAATATGGTGGATAAGGATTAGGGTTAGGGTTAGGGTTAGGATTAGGGGGATACATATAAGGGTTTGGATGCCGATATGGAGAAGATGAACCATAGTTATTATTATCCATCAAACACTATTCTCAATTATGATAAAATGCAGTAACAAAAAAACTGAAATTTCAATATTCAATACAAAAGGGTGATAGAATAAATCATCAAATTGGAAGAATCAAGCAAGAATCATGTAACTGATGGAAATAAATCACACAAAGGTGGAAAATTTGAAATGGTTGAAGGATGATGATAATTGTGTTTGACTATGATTAGATCGAAATGGTAGAGAAAAAAAAAAGGGAAATTTGGGAGATTGAAAATATGAAATGAAGAAAATTGAGGTAAAAGATGAGAAATTTACCTGTGATTTTGAGATGGAGAAGAAAATTTAAGAGATGGATTGAGAGAGGAAGAAGCGTACGCTGTCTGGAGTTGACGTTGTATACAATATGCAACATGGAATACTTTGAATAACACGTTATATTTATTATTTTACTTATTTTAAGATTGGTAACAACTTGTTACCCATCTACATCTAAATAAGGTGAAGTTAATTAAATTTTCCCAAATGTTTCTCACTAATCTTATTAGTATTGAAAAATTTCAATTTATTACTATTAGAAGACTCGTGCGTCCGCACGGGATCCATAGAAAAGTTAATTTTTAATATAAGAGCATTTGTTAAATAGAAATAACAAAATTAAAATGATAATAATTTCACAGTATTAATTGTGAAAATATTCAACTGTTTTAAAATATATTGACAGTGCGTAACACAATTGGAATATGTTCAACATAGAATAAAAAAAATAAATCTTTGATTCTAATAATACAGTAAGCCTTGTTAGAAGCAATTGAAGAGATTACATAACCTACAAGCATGATAAATAAAATGAGAATTAAAGAAATGTTCTAATTAGAAAAGAGAAAACAATATTTTGACCTTGAAAAAATGACTTACATTTGCATGGTGACATTTGTATTATTTCTTCAAAAATGATAGTGTGTGAAAGCTTAATAAAGAAATGTAGGTGTTAGGAAATATAGCAAACAAAAAAAGAGAATTTTTTAAATAAAGTTAATAGTTTAAAGAAATAGTAAAAATGTACCTAGATGACGTTGTGAAAAACTTCTTTAAAGACAACATTTGTTGTTTGAGTTAAGGAGTTGTTGTCTTTGTCATGTATTAAGATTTTCAATCCAACTTTACTCTTAACTCTTGAAATAGCAACATAGAGTTGTCCATGACTGAAAACATTCTTGGGCAAATATAAACCAACGTAATCTAATGATTGCCCTTGAGATTTGTTGATTGTCATAGCAAATGACACTATAATTGGGAATTGTCTTCTGATAAGTTTAAATGGCCATGGAGATTGAGAAGGAGATAAAGACATTCGTGGTATGTAAATAGTGTTTCCGATATTTGTACCTGAAATTATCTTTGCTTGTATTACATAGTTGGCTAACTTAGTAACTGTCAACCTTGTACCATTGCAAAACCCTTCTGATTGATCCAAATTCCTTATCAACATGATAGTTGTACCAATTTTCAATTTCAATGAATGGTTAGGCAAACCAGAAGTTTTAAGACAACTAAAGAATTCTGGTGTCAAATACTCGAAAGCATAATTATCATTTGTTTCTGATCTATCAATGGAATCACAACTCAAATACTCTTTACATTCACCTTCATGAAAAAGAATGAGTATTAAGGTATAAATATTTATATATTTGAAACAAAAAGAGTATACAACTCTTAAATATCATATTTAATAGTCCAACTTCACTAAAATACACATTTTTAAAGAAAAGAGTATTCATGTATCAGACATAACTAATAGAGATTAAAATATACCTGGAAGAAGATTAGTTATGTAGTCATTAATACCGTCAACAATTTCAATAGTTGATGCTAAAATTGCTCGACATTGAAGAAAATCTGGATTTGTGTAATTTTGAAGTAGATTTGGATAGGTACTTGTAACAATTGCCTCAATTGGATCCACAAAATCTCTAATGAGTAGCTCTCTAGGAATATTTATTTCAACATATCCATCATTGGGTTCTGAGACTTTCCCATTGCCAACTTGTAAAATCCAATCTGAGAATAGCCTAACTTCATCTGAATTGCTTAAATTAGGACCACTTTGCAATCTCATATTTTTGGTTAGATTCAAAACTTTACAATGATCCCAAATATATGATGCATTTATTGTTACATGGACAATATCAGACCTAGTACCTCTTGGTACAACAGGTAAAATTTGTCTGAAATCTCCACCAAAAATTACAACTTTACCTCCAAAAATTTGTTGACATTCAACATTGTCATCACTCATTATATCCTTCAATGACTTGTCAAGAGCTTCAAAACAAAACTTATTAGCCATAGGTGCTTCATCCCATATAATGAGTTTTGTTACCTTCAAGAGATTAACAAGATCTGATTTTTTCTCAATGTTACAGATGGAAGATTCCAGACATGGAACTGGAATTTTGAATTTTGAATGTGCAGTTCTCCCACCTGGTAACAACAAACTTGATATTCCGCTAGATGCTACATTTAACACAATATCTCCTTGACAACGCAAAGCAGCAGAAAGTGTGTTCCACATGAAAGTCTTTCCAGTCCCACCATAACCATATAAGAAAAAAACTCCACCATTTTGATTTGTGACAGCTTGCATAACTTGTCTAAAAATTTCATGTTGTTCATCTACATTCAAAATGAACACACCATCAAAGTTGTTACATTAGCATAGTTTAAATGTTCAATTCCTGGTAGGAGGTATACCATAACCATTACCATATAATGAATATCATGAATATATAATTACTAAAATCTACTCCATGAACAGTATAGAATAGATACCGCATATGTGTTTAACTTGATGAGAATGAAGATGAACAACTATTATAGAAGGCTTAATAAAGCATAAAGTAATATTATTGAAATAATAGTAAAATCAATACCCGTTAATTTTTGAAATAGATTATGGTAAATCTCTTCTTGAGCCTTGATATCATATTGTCTTTCATCATATATCAATCTATTTCCAAGAAAGTCAAGGACATAATTATTTGGATATGGCATTGGCTTAAATTCTTTCAAACTTCTTCTATTTTTCTACAGCTGCTTCTCAATTTCCATCAAAGTGAGTTGTTGAATTTCTTCATCTGACAAAGTTAAATCTACAAAAAAAATAAACGTTAAGTAATGAAAAAATAATATTGAATAAAAGTATTGTAAAAGTGTTGTAGAAGTGAATAAAAGTGTTGTCAACAAAAGTGTTGTAAGCAATAAAATGGAGGCGATAAAATATAACTTATTGTGACATAGATATAAAAAATATGTATTAATCTAACCTGGATTTTGTGACAATAGTCTTTGTTCATATAGAATTCCATCTGATAAGTATATCCAAGTGTAAAGCCAGACATGTTCTGGTCGATTTAATGAAGCTGATAATAACATTGTAACAAAAAGTTTACGCAAAAATACTCCATAACCCCAGTTATAAGCTTCTTTAATTGCCTCAATGAACTCTTTGTCATATTCTAGGAAGCCCAATGCAAAACATGCTTCTCTAAAAGAATTGTGCTTGAACCCCTCAATTGTCTTTAATTCATCATAAGATCTTGGCCCTTTCTTCACGGTCAACAACATCCTCATATAGTACAATTCTCCGGTCGTTGGTGGGACCCAAATGAGTCGGCCAATTGTGTAACCTCTTTTACGTGGTTTCCAACACCTTTTCCTCTTGTCATATACAAATTTTGACACAAATTGTCCATATGTTAAAGACCTTGCTTCTTCATATTAGCTATTTGCGAGAAACCAAGAAGTAAACATTGATTCTGTGACACTTGGTTTAAGTAGGAGAGTACCTATTTGCTCAAAATCTTTGTAGTACACAGAATTCTCTCCTTCCATGTGAAAAAATAATCTTTCAACAGCTGGTTTTCTACCATGAATTGAATAAGAGAAGATTCTCCAGCAAGCTTCACTTGGTGATACATATCTACAATCAAGGTATTGCTCGATTTCATCAGTATTTCCATCTTGACCAGTGTTATTTGGAACGATAACAGCCGAGATCCTATCAGAACCCTTGTTGATGTATTTGAAAAGATATTTAATTGACGTACTTTGATTGCACCACTCCATATTTATATGTGCATCATATTTCATCAGCAAACTTGGATTATTGGATACAACATGACCACTGTGTAGTGTGACTCCGTTTTTCTCAAATGTATTACCTTGATCTCTCCTTCTATAAACTGGATATCCATCTTGATCAACAATTGTGACATCTTGAAATTTCTTAGGATAGTACTTGGAACACTTACCATCTTTCATGCAAGGGCGTTTAGGATTTTCTAAACCATAAGGTCCATGTACCATATGGGTTTTCACCAGATTATATAGTCTTGGATGTTTCAATGGATCGGGAACTTCAGCAGAAATGATTTTGTCTATGTCTTCAGAAGCGAGATATTTATTTGATGGATGCAATAAAATAAGAATGTGTGCATGTGGGAGACCCCTTTTCTGAAATTCAATTGTGTACATATCTGAAAATATTTTCAAATGTTAAAAAAATAAATACATACGAGAATTGGGTAAATAAGAATGTGTGCATGTGGGAGACCCCTTTATGTGTAAACATTGGATAAAGTAAAATGCTAGAAAAAAAGAAATGGTAGACTTACATGCCATAACCTTGCCTAAAACACCTTTCTTTGTCACGTCCGCTAGGAGGTTATCAAACTTCATTTTAAATATTCTAGCAATGATATCAGGTCTATCATGTGGCTTCAAATTTAGAGGAGCAAACAATCTTTGAATTTCTGGCCAATTTGGGTTGCATGTGAATGTAATGAAAAGATCTGGAAATCCCACCTTACTACAAATTTCCATGCCATCATAGTACAACTGATCCATAAATCGTCTACTCCCCACATAAGATGATGGTAATATGACTCTTTTTCCTATGCTTGATCCATGTGTTTGTTCTTGCTCTACATTTAGACTTGTATACTTTGAAACTCTTAGTTTGGACTAATT